CTGCTGCTTTTCTGAGCAAAGTTTCTTGGATACATTGTCCATCCCATTCTCTCCTCCTAGGAAGGACTGAATTGACAATTCCACCACTCCACTGAGACCACACTTAAGACTACCAGTGACCTTCACCTTGCTTCTCTGTCCTGACCTAACTGGACCGACTTGCAGCATTCCACTGTGCAATTTGACTATTCTTTCCCTCGTTATAATTTTTTTTTTTGAGAAGGAGTTTCACTCTTGTTACCCAGGCTGGAGTGCAATGGCGCGATCTCGGCTTACCGCAACCTCCGCCTCCTGGGTTCAGGCAATTCTCCTGCCTCAGCCTCCCGAGTAGCTGGGATTACAGGCACATGCCACCATGCCCAGCTAATTTTTTGCATTTTTAGTAGAGACGGGGTTTCACCATGTTGACCAGGATGGTCTCGATCTCCCGACCTCGTGATCCACCCACATTGGCCTCTCAAAGTGCTGGGATTACAGGTATGAGCCACCGCGCCCGGCCCCTATAATTTTTTTTGTAGAGACAGGGTCTTGCTCTCACCCAGGCTGGAGTGCAGTGTTCAATCACAGCTCACTGCAGCCTATAACTCCTCCTGCCACAGTCTCGCAAAGTGCTGGGATTACAGGTGTCAGCCACCTCACCCAGCCCTTTTTTTTTTGTCTTTTTGAGACAATGCCTCACTAAATTGCCCAGGCTGGTCTGGAGCCCCTGGGTTCAAGTGATACTCCCACTTTAGCCTCCCAAAGTGCTGCAATTATAGGTGTGAGCCACCGTGCCTGGCCTAGAGCAATCTTAATGTCAGACAAAATTGGTTTTTTGGTGAAACACAACATGAAGGGTTATAGGGATCTTATATGCTGGTAATGGGAGGAAAAGATCAAGAATGCAAAAAAACTAAACCTATATGCACCTAACAACGCACCTCAAACACATAAAACAACAGTTGACAAAAACAGATAAGTCGATAATCATAGTTTAAGAACTGATATTTCCCTCTCAGAAGAATTAACATCAGGGTAATTTAATTCTCTGACCAGAATGTAAAAATGTTAGAAATCCGTAACAGACAAAAAAAAAAAAAAAAATTCCACGAATGCAGAAACTTAAGGAAAAATTCCATGTAAGTGAAAGCAAAATGAGTTGAATTGTAAGTCCTACAAGGGAAAGATGAGGGACACACGAGGATGTTGAGATTTACGAGACAGGGTTAAAGCAAAGCAGCGCTTGGAGGAAGACGCATTTCTTTGGCTGCACTGACCAGGAAACAAGACAGATTTCAGACCTGAAGAAGGCATCACGAAGTTAGCATTCCTCCACTACCAACCAAAAGCAAAAAAAAAAAAGATAAAGGCAAAAATGCAAACTTCATTTTCATTAAAACTAAGAGCTAGAAATGGGGGGGGGACTCCCAAAGGCCACAGGAATTGAGCAAGAGCTGTGTGAAGGGCACACAGAGATGCCTGTTACAGACGCCAGCAAGCGAGGGCGAGGGCATTTCTCAAGGTGAGGGTCACGCCCTGAGGGTCGGACCTAATTCCTTGTTTCTGAAGCAGGAACATGGGCTGGCAGCGAGTGCTTCCCTGGCCTTGTTTAGTTCCTGGAAGAGGGGAGAGGGAGTGAACCAGGAACAGAACAGGCCTTATTTGTAAAATGCAGGATCTTTAGGAAAAGGAAGAGGGAAGCTGTACTGTGTGAAAACCCTGATAGGCACAGACTTGTATTTAAAGCTAAAATCAACAACGAAACTCTGCTGGATTGGAAAATAGCTCTGGCTTCATTTTCCATATAAACTTTTTCAAATAGCTAGTCAAGTAAAAATTCACCTGTTTTAAAGATGAGGCTGTGCACAGTGGCTCATGCCTGTAATCCCAGCGCTTCGGGAGGGTAAGGTGAGAGGATCACTTGAGCCCAGGAGTTTGAGACCAGCCTGGGCAGCATAGCGAGACCTTGTCTCTACAAAAAACTAAAAACATCTTAGCTGAGCGTGGTGGCATGTGCCTGTGGTCCCTGCTACTTGGGAGGCTGAGGTGGGAGGACTGCTTGAGCCTCGAGGTCGAGGCTGCAGAGAGCTGAGATCGCGGCACCACACTTCAGCCTGGGTGACAGAGTGAGACACTGCCTCTAAAAAGATAAATTAAAAAAAAAAGATGAGGGGGGAACCAAGAAACAAAAGTGCTCCAAGAGGAAAGTAGAAAGGAAACGAGCAAACGAAAGAGCACGAGCTGTCTCCAGGAGAACTTCCCACAGTTGATGAAAATTCCAACGAAACGTTTTGCTGTGAGTTAAAAACTCAAGGAGGCAGTGCCCTAAGAATCCTAAGCACAAAGGAGAGCTACGGAGTGCGGGTGGGAGGGCCAGGAAGACATCAGGACGCGGCTGCGTGGAAGACAGAGGTAAACACATCACAGCCCTGAGCACACGGGGAACAGAAGCCTGTGGCGCAAGCCCATTCTTTCCTAAGGCAGAAGGGAAGCTGCGCCAATCCTAAGAACACTTACAATGGCATTTGTGAGGAGGGGCTGGAGTACCAGGCTCAGACAAGCTGAGTCTAAAAATTATGGTGGCCGTGCCTGCAATCCCAGCACTTTGGGAGGCTGAGACGGGAGGATCGCTTGAGACCAGAAATTTGAGATCAGCCTGGGCAACACAGGGAGACCCCATCTCTATGAGTTTTTTTTGAGGCAGAGTCTCATTCCATCACCCAGACCAGAGTGCGATGGTGCAATCTCAGCTCCCTGCAACCTCTACCTCCCAGGTTCAAGCGATTCTCATGCCTCAGCCTCCCAAGTAGCTGGGATTACAGGCACACACCACCAGGCCCAGCAAAGTTTTGTATTTTTGGTAGAGACAAGGTTTCTCCATGTTGGCCAGGCTGGTCTTAAATTCCTGACCTCAACTGATCTACCTGCCTCAGCCTCCCAAAGTGCTGGGATTACAGGCATGAGCCACCATGCCCAGCCTTTTCTCTGCTAAATTTAAAAAGAAAGAAAAAATGAAATATAAATACAATACAAGAAAATTCTGAGAGAGAAGGGTAAAGAGGAGACCCTACATCAGCCAGACATGCAAAGGGACCAGGAAGTGATACTGATTCAGACCCAACGGGACTGCCTGTGAACACACTGAGAGAGCAGCTGAACGAATAGTCCAGATACAGCCCCGAATAGTCCAGATACAGCCCCAACTGCACATGGAACATTTAGCATCATAACAAGGCAGCAGTTCGAATAATCCGGAAAGCATGAGCCACCGAAAGCTGGGGTTGGGGCATCTCCGGAGCCATCAGGGGTTAATAAGAAGTGGTTCTGGCTGGGCATGGTGGCTCACGCTTGCAATCTCAGCACTTTGGGGGGCTGAGGCACACCTGAGGTCAGCAGTTCAAGACCAGCCTGGCCAACATGGGGAAACCCCATCTCTACTAAAAGTACAAAAATTATCTGGGTGTGGTGGTGGGTACCTGCAATCCCAGCTAGTCGGGAGGCTGAGGCGAGAAAATCACTGGAACCCAGGAGGTGGAGGTCGCAGTGAGCTAAGATGGCACTACTTCACCCCAGCCTGGGCAAAAAGAGTGAAACTTCACCTCAAAAAAAACCAAACCAAACAAAACAAAACAAAAAACCAGAAGTGGTTCCTACTTTGTAACATACACCATGATAAATTCTAAAAGGATCACAGGGTTAATCACACAAAAATGAAAGCAGAGCAGAATCAGAAGAAACAAGAGAATAAGCCTGGGGTAGCCAAAGATGTCATAAAACCCAGAAAAGATAAAAAACAAGAACACTAAATGACATAAAAATAAAAATATGACCATAAAAAAACACCGTAAGAAAAATTTAAAAACATGAAGAACTGGGAGAAAACATTTGAACTGTCGCCACAGAAAAGGTCTCATTTGTATTACGTGTAATGAGCTGCTACAGATCAGTGAGACAGACAACAACCCTATGTACAAACGGGCAAAGAACTGAAGAACAGGAAAAAGTGTCTCGAAACCCACGTGAAGATGCACAAGCTCCCGACAGAAGCGCTCACTCCAACCCCGCGGGCACCAGGAAAGTTCCGTCTGCCACAGGTGACTCTCCTCATTCACTGCTGCTGGGAGCAGCCACTGGGCGGGCAGCGGAGGCTGAGACGCCGTCCGCCACGTGGCGTGCACGCGGTCCTGACTAGACGAGCCCCCGTGGGCACCCACACGCGGATTTTCACACACGCTCTGCGGCATGTGTGCAAGGCCGCCACTCTAACATTATTTGTAATAGCCTAAAAGGCACACGAAGGAAAGAATGGTTAAATGAATGACGGAAGGTCTAAGGTAGGAAGGGAACGCCCTCTAAACAGGAACACAGGACGGACCCGTGTTCCCCGATCGCATCGCACGGCCCATGTCTCCAGCCGCCTCAAAGCAGCGTCTTCTCTCCACGCTTCTCACTACATCATGGTCCCATGCAGTCTCCCCAAGGTACACCCTTCAGATAGATTTTCCTGAAAACTTCCTGAGACCGCCAGCAGGCGCTGCCACTGTAACCCACTGAGTTTGCCAGGCCTGTGACTTAAGTACAGAGAAGAGTCTCAGGGCATCGTCATCCGCGCAGCAGGGCAGGACGGGATGAGGATGTGACTAACGCTTGTCTGGCCCGAGAGGCTGAGCACCACTGGGGTTGGCCTGGCTCTCCCCTGGGAACAGGGCCGTCTAAAGTGCACCAACACCTGCACGTCTCACCTGGGTTCCATTCCCAGTCAGGTACGCAGTGTGCACGCGGGTGTACGGGGCTGCGTTATGAGGCACGGTTTCTGCCCTTCAGGGCTTTGCACCAACACCCGGGAAACCGTCAGGTGCTGAATGAGAGGTAAGGAGCCTCCACACATTACTCAGCCAAAGTGCAGGGATTTCAGGGTGTGGGAAGCAGGCAGGCGCTGACTCTGCACATGCCCCTCGGAGAGGGTGGCCCCCCCCCCTGCTACCAGCCACGGGCAGCTCCTGGGGAGGGCAGTCTCCTACCTGGAGCTGAGTCACCATGGGAGGTGAGGCCAGAGGGGCTGGATCCCAGGTCTAGCAACCTCCACGTGTCCTGGAGGGTGCCGCTGGCAAAGGAGGAGGAGCTGTGCGAGTGGTGAACGAGCTCTTCAGGGTGCTCCTGAGCCTGGGGTGGATTTGGAGACCGGGCTTCTTTCTGCTGGGGTGATTGACAGGTCACCGTGTGAACGCTGTGTTGTGTCTAGAAAAGACATCGTCTTGAAAGTCACTCCTCTCCAACCCAGAAGCCACAGGGCTCCCCCAAGCCACTCCCCTGGAGTGTGAGGAGACAGTGGGCCTGGCTCAAAGGCCCAGGCAGACGCTCCCAGGACCACCCAGGAGAGGCAGCTGCAGATAGTGGTGCATCCGGAGTGAGTCCCAGCGCTGGGAACCCTGAGTGTGGGCAGTGCCTAAATCTCAGTGCTTGTCTGAACACTTAGACAACACAAGTCTAGAGCAGAGGCTGCCCTGCTGCGATGGGCAGGGGCTGAAATGCAGGGCAGATGTACTGAGGGGCACAGAAAGAAAGGGCCAGCATGGGCCCCATGCGCTTAAGGGGCCCCGGGCCCTCCCAACACCTTTACCACCCTCATGGGACCACCCAGCAAGCTCTCTGCAGCTCACCTGGCCATTGTGAACAGGCCTTGGTGACAACGCAAAGGCCCCTCTGAGAGGCCCAGAGCGCCCAGTCCCCGGCTTCCCTGCCGGCCACACCCCACAGCGCCACACCTGGACGGGCACTGCCGTTCTCACCTTCCGGCCTCGCAGGGCGTTGTGTCCGCCGCCCACCTGTGCTGAGCCGGGCCGCTGCTTCCCTGGGTGTCTGGAAGGACATTCATCCTCTGCGCTCTTGGTGTCCTGCCGTGGGGAGTTAAATGAGAGGACTCCGGCATTCACGTCACTGATGGTGAATGTCAGTGACTTTTCCCACGAGACTGGAAAGAAATGGCTTCCCACATTTCTGGTATTAGTCTCACGTCATCTGGTCACAACCCAGACCGAAGGGACCTGTTCCCCAGACAGGATAAGTGGAGCAGGCTTCCCCAATCACTCATTCCCAGGAGCCTCCTCAACAAGGCCAGGGCAGCCTTCACGCTTGCCTGGGGTGAGAGCCCCCAGCCCAGGGTGGCATTAATGGTTCCCGGTGCCAAGACCTGGCTGATCCTGCTTCTTCAGCCCATCACTGGTACCTCTGCCTGCCCCACGCCTGACGCCTCCCTCCTCCTGGTGGGAAGACTGTGGAAAGGAAGCCAAAAGGGAATACTAGGGAGCAGTGCCTAAGAACACAGAAAGGGAACGTGGAAGAAAACAGAAAGGAAAATTCAAAGCAGTGAGACCTGGATGGAGCCATGGGCAGTGGATGGCCCTCAGGAGGCCGTGGAACCAGCCCAGCTCTGCCCCTTCCCAGCACACCACGAGTGCAGAGCTGAGCTCAGCCCACGTTCACCGATGTTTGCCTGTTCGCCGAGGAACGTACACGCATGAGGTCTATTTAAGGTTGCTGGTGCCAGTGAACAGGGCACTGCCTGGTGCTCGCTGCCCCCAGGGCTTCGCCCTGGTGCTTTCTCATCAGACTCTTTGCCTATTTTCACAGGGTTATCTTTTTTTTTTTTTTTTTAAGACGAGGTCAGGCTGGTCTTGAACTCCCGACCTCAGGTGATCCACCCCCCTTGGCCTCCAAAGTGCTTGGATTGCAGGCGTGAGCCATCGTGCCCGGCCTGTCTTTTTTTTTTTGAGACGGCGTCTTGCTCTGTCGCCGAGGCTGGGGCACAGTGACACAGTCTCGGCTCACTGCAACCTCGACCCCCTGGGGTTCAAGCGATTCTCCTGCCTCAGCCTCTGAGTAGCTGGGATTACAGGCACCCGCCACCACGCCCGGGTAATTTTTGTATTTTTAGTAGAGACAGGGTTTCACCATGGTGGCCAGGCTGGTCTCGAACTCCTGACCTCGTGATCTGCCCGCCTCAGCCTCCCAAAGGGCTGGGATTATAGGCGTGAGCCACCGCGCCCATGGAGTTCTTTCTGTATTTGTTTCCTATTTCTTCTCATATGGCACCATTTACTATTAGAAATAAAGAGGAATGCCTTGGGAAGCTGAGGCACTTGAGCCCAGAGTTCTAGGCTACAGTGAGCCTGGATCACACTACTGCACTCCAGCCCTGGCAATAGAGCAAGACTATGTCTCAAATAAAAAATTAGGCTGGGCACAGTAGCTCACACCTGTAATCCCAGCACTTGGGAAGGCTGAGGTGGAAGAACCCCTTGAGTCCAGGAGTTCAGTATCAGCCTGAGCAACACAGGGAAACCCCTATGTACAAAAATTTTTTTAAATTAGACAAGTGCCGGGCACGGTGGCTCACACCTGTAATCCCAGCACTTTGGGAGGCTAAGATGAGTGGATCACAAGGTCAAGAGTTCCAGACCAGCCTGGCCAATATGGTGAAATCCCAACGCTACTAAAAATACAAAAGTTAGCTGGGTGTGGTGGCACGTGCCTGTAGTTCCAGCTGCTCAGGAGGCTGAGGCAGGAGAATTGCTTGAACCTGGGAGGTGGAGGTTGCAGTGAGCCGAGATCCTGCCATTGCATTCCAATCTGGGTGACAGAGCGAGACTCCGTCTCAAAAAAAAAAAAAAATTGGACAAGTGTGGTGGCACACACCTGTGGTCCCAGCTACCAGGGAAGCTGAGGTGGGAGGATAATATGAGCCAGGGAGGTTGAGGCTGCAGTAAGCTGTGATGGCACCATGGCACTCCAGCCTGGGCGGCAGAGAGAGACCCTGTCTCAAAAAATTTGTTTTTCTTTGAGACAAAGTTTCACTCTTGCTGCCCAAGCTGGAGTACAATGGTGTGATCTTGGCTCACTGCAACCTCCACTTCCCAGCTTCAAGCGATTCTCCTGCCTCAGTCTCCTAAGTAGCTGGGATTACAGGCGTGTGTTAACATGCCCAGCTAATTTCTTGTATTTTTAGTAGAGATGAGGTTTCACCATATTAGCCAGGCTGGTCTTGAACTCCTGACCTCAGGTGATCCGCCCGCCTTGGCCTCACGAAGTGCTGGGATTACCGGCGTGAGCCACTGCACCTGGCCCACATTTTTTTTTTTTTTTTTTTTGAGATGGAGTTTCGCTCGTTACCCAGGCTGGAGTGCAATGGCGCGATCTCGGCTCACCGCAACCTCCGCCTCCTGGGTTCAGGCAATTCTCCTGCCTCAGCCTCCTGAGTAGCTGGGATTACAGGCACATGCCACCATGCCCAGCTAATTTTTTGTATTTTTAGTAGAGACAGGGTTTCACCATGTTGACCTGGATGGTCTCGATCTCTTGACCTCGTGATCCACCCGCCTCGGCCTCCCAAAGTGCTGGGATTATAGGCTTGAGCCACCGCGCCCAGCCCCACATTTTTTTAAAAGAAAAATAAATTGGCCAGGCGAGGTGGCTCCAAAAAAATGTGGGCCAGGTGTGGTGGCTCAGGCCTGTAATCCTAGCATTTTGAGAAGCTGAGGTGGGTAGATCACTTGAGGTCAGGAATTCAAAGCCAGCCTGGGCAACATGGCAAAATCCTCTCTCTACAAAAAAATACAAAAAATAAGGCTGGGAAAAATGGCTCAAGCCTATAATCCCAGCACTTTGGGAGGCCAAGGCGGGCAGATCACCTGAGGTCAGGAGTTTCAGACCAGCCTGGGTGGGTGTGGTGGTGGGTGCCTGTAATTCCAACTACTTGGGAGGCTGAGGTTGAAGAATTGCTTGAGCCCTGGAGCAGAGGTTGCAGTGAGCTGAGATCACACCACTGCACTCCAGCCTGGGCAACAGAGTAAGGCTGTCTCCAAAACAAGAGCTATTTCATGAGATGTAATGAACATGATAGTTTTATAGTCTGACAGAGGTTAATAAGGTTTAATAAAGTATTTAGTAAACTGGAGAAAAGTCGAGGTCTAAACAGCAATGTACACAACGCAGAACAGGCAAGATCTACTCAAGCTGTAGGAAGTGTGATTCAGGCAGGTGTCAGCCAACAGTCCTGCCACATCCAGCCAAACACCTTTTTCTATACAGCCTATGAGCTAAAAATAGCTTTTCACTTTTTTTTTAATGGAGTCTTGCTCTGTCACCAGGCTGGAGAGCAGTGGTACGATCTCAGCTCACTGCAGCCTCCCCTGCCAGGTTCAAGTGATTCTCCTCCCTCAGCCTCCTGAGCAGCTGGGACTACAGGCACACGCCACCACATCTGGCTGATTTTTGTACTTTGGTAGAGATGGGGTTTCACCGTGTTGGCCAAGCTGGTCTTGAACTCCTGACCTCCAGTGATCTACCTGTCTTGGCCTCCCAAAGTGCTGGGATTATGGTGTGAGCCACCACACCCGGCCTTTGTTTTAAATTTTATATATTTGAGACAGGATCTTACTCTATCATCCAGGCTGGAGTGCAGTGGCGCCATGGCAGCTCACTATAGCCTCGAACTCCTGGGCTCAAAAGATCCTCCCACCTCATCCTCCCCTGGAGCTGAAACTACAGGCACACACCACACCTGGCTAATTTTGTAATTTTTTTTTTTTTTTTTTGAGGCAGAGTTTTGCTCTCGCCAGGCTAGAGTGCAGTGGCATAATCTCAGCTCACTGCAGCCTCTGCATCCCGGGTTCAAGCAATTCCCCTGCCTCAACCACCTGAGTAGCTGGGATTACAGGCACGTACCACCATGCCTGGCTAATGTTTTTGTAGTTTTGTAGAGACGGGGTTTCACCATGTTGGCCAGGATGGCCTCCATCTCCTGACCTCGTGATCCACTTGCCTTGGGGGATTACAGGCATGAGCCCCTGCGCCCGGCCTAATTTTTAAATTATTTTTCTTGAAACAGAGTTTTGCTCTGTCACCAGGCTGGAGTGCAGTGGCACGATCTCAGGTCACTGCAACCTCCGCCTCCTAGGTGCAAGTGATTCTCCTGCCTCAGCCTCCCGAGTAGCTAGGACTATAGGAGTATGCTTCCACGCCCAGCTAATTTTTTGTATTTTAGTAGAGACAGGGTTTCACCATGTTGGCCAAGATGGTCTCCATCTCCTGACCTCATGATTCACCTGCCTCGGCCTCCCAAAGTGCTGGATTACAAGTGTGAGCCACCGCACCCAGCCGTAATTTTTTTGTAGAGAAAAGGTCTTGCTATGTTGCCCAGGTGTCTCTGGCTCTTTATGAGAAAAGTGTGCCAAAGGCTGAACTAAAGCTACATTGTCAACATGGATCTAAGCCAAAACATAACATGAAGCACATGTGCAGAAAGGCATCTACAGTTGGAGGTGACTTATGTGGATTTTCAAATAAATCCAATAAGGAAAAAAAAATCCAATATGGAACTAATGAGGGGCTGGGTCCAGTGGCTCATGCCTATAATCCCAGCACTTTGGGAGGCCAAGGCAGACAGATCACTTGAGGTCAGGAGTTCGAGGCCAGCCTGGCCTACATGGGGAAACCCTGTCTCTACTAAAAATACAAAAATTAGCCAGGAGTGGTGGCGGGCATCTGTACTCCCAACTACTTGGGAGGCTGAGGCAAGAGAATCATTTGAACCTGGGAGGTGGAGGTTGCAGTAAGCTGAGATTGTGCCACTGCACTTCAGTCATGGGTGACAGAGCAAGATTCCATCTCAATAAATAAATAAAAAAGAAAGAACAGCCAAGAAAATTTTGTAAAGGAACAGATACAAGGTCAAGCTTGCTCTAACAGATATTAAAATATGTTACAAAGCCACAGTATTCAAAGAAGTATAGTACCAGTTTAGGAACAGACAACTCATTGAAACTGTGTAGAAAACCCCAAAATAAATGCAGAAGCTGAATTTCTCAAGGCTGCAGTATCAGACAGATCCACAGTCTACAAAACACTGCCTGACTTTTCAAAACTCTGTCTCAGAACACAAACAACAAACAAAAAAACAGCAGAGGCTGGGTGCGGTGGCTCACACCTGTAATCACAGCACTTTGGGAGGCCAAGGTGGGCAGATCACTTGAGGTCAGGAGTTTGAGGCCAGCCTGCCCAACATGGCAACCCCCGCCTCTACTAGAAATACAAAAATTAGCCAGGTGTGGTGGCACATTCCTATAATCCCAGCTACTTGGGAGGCTGAGGCAGGGGAATTCCTTTAACCCAGGAGGCCGAGGTTGCAGTGAGCCAAGATCGTACCACTGCACTGCAGCCTGGGCAACAGAGCAAGACTTTGTCAACAAAACAAAACCAAACCAGCAGAAAACACATTGAAATGTTACTGGTAACTATGTTTGGATGCTGAAAATTGGAGGCTTCTTATATTGTGTTTATTGTATTTTGAAGTTTATGTAATTAAAACACAACACAATTAGGGAAATGTTTTTTAAAATGCATTTCTTAGATGAAGGGATGTTACCTGAGCTGTAAAATGGGGCCGCACCTGTCCCAAAGGGGGGCCGTGATCCAGAGGCTTCCTGGGCTCCTCGCCTGGCTTCCGGACCTCGGGGGCTGGGGGGAGGGTGTGGTGCAGCGGCCGCCCTGGGAATGGGATGGGGACAGGGCTTGTTCTCTGCACGCATCACTTCTGGATTCCTCATGTGCTGCGGGCAAATACTCAGAAAGAACAGCATGTTCCTTTTTGAAACCAAAGTAACTTCCATTTCATAGATAATGTGGGGAGGGCGGACAGTGGTGAACTGTGACACACAGCACTTTGGCAGAGTTCTTGCACACACAGTGCCATGCCCCTGCCACACGCAGTGCTTGCCCTCCTCACAGGAGCGGCAGTGAGCACATTCCATAACAGATGCACAGAGATGCCCTTTCTGTGGCAGGCACACATAAGAAACAAAAGCTTGCCAGGCGCGGCGGCTCACGTCTGTAATCCCAGCGCTTTGGGATGTCAGGAGTTCAAGATCAGCCTGGCCAACATGGTGAAATCCTGTCTCTACTAAAAATGTAAAAATTAGCCAGGTGTGGTGGTGTGCACCTATAGCCCCAGGTACTTGGGAGGCTGAGGCAGGAGAATTGCTTGAACCCGAGAGGCAGGGGTTGCAGTGAGCCGAGATCGCACCACTGCACTCCAGCCTGGGTGACTCTATCTCAAAAAGCAAACAAACAAACCAAAAAAAGCAAAAGCTTAAGTATACCAATTAAAACTGAGGGTTCTACTCAAAGCTTCCGCGTGCTAGCTTACTTAGAAATGACCCCGCATCAAACGAGACTCTTTCATCAATTCCATTCGTGTAATGTTACCTAAGATTTGCTCCTTCTCTAAACACACATCAGAAGACACAATTACTGAAATAACGTTTCCCAGAAGAACACATCAGTTTGGTTAACTAAACTCATTGAGGATTCCAACAAGGTTTTTGGAGGGCGTTTATAACGGTTGATATTTCACATACTGGAAATTGAAACAGGAAATTTTTTTTTTTTTTTTTGAGACGGAGTTTTGCTCTTGTTACCCAGGCTGGAGTGCAATGGGTGCGATCTCGGCTCACCGCAATCTCCGTCTGCTGGGTTCAAGCAATTCGCCTGCCTCAGCCTCCTGAGTAGGTGGGACTACAGGCGTGCACCACCATGCCCAGCTAATTTTTTTTGCGTATTTTCAGTAGAGACAGGGTTTCACCATGTTGACCAGTATGGTCTCGATATCATGACCTCGTGATCCACCCGCCTTGGCCTCCCACAGTGCTGGGATTATAGGCGTGAGCCACCGCGCCCGGCCCAGAAAATTCTTAAAGTGTTTTTATTAATTAACCTGAAGATGGCAACAATGAACATATTGCTTATTATTAACATCTGAGCAGCATCGAAGAATCAGCTCTGCCCTGTGGATATCTGGAGATGGGCCCTAAAGAAAAGCACCAGTTTCTTCCAGACAATAAAAGAACATAGAGAAGATAACACTTGGAAATGAATGTGCTTCCCTTCGTTTATAACACCTGAATTTAAAAGCCAGAAGTCACAAGATACACACATGGGGAAAAAGCTCATGAAAACATTCAACACCACTGGTCACCAGAAAGTGTAAAATCAAAGCCACAATGGGATTTTACCTCACACTCACCGGATGGCTAGAATCAACAGGATAGAAAACAGCCGGGCACAGTGGCTCACACCTGTAACCCACCTGTAACCTCAGCACATTGGGAGGCCAGGTGGGAGGAACATGAGGCCAGGTGTTCAATACTGGCCTGGCTAACACAGCGAGACCCCACCTCTATTTTTTATTTTTTTTTGAGACAGAGCCTCTGTTACCAGTCTGGAGTGCAGTGGCACAATCTCAGCTCACTGCAACTTCCGCCTCCTGGGTTCAATAGATTCTCCTGCCTTAGCCTTCCTAGTAGCTGGGACGACAGGCGAGTACCGCCATGCCCAGCTAATTTTTGTTTTTAGTAGAGACAGGGTTTCACCATGTTGGCCAGGATAGTCTTGATCTCTTGACCTTGTGATCCACCCACCTTGGCCTCCCAAAGTGCTGGGATTATAGGTGTGAGTCACTGCACCCAGCCTATTTAAAAATAAAATTAAAAAAAAAAAAGTTAAAAAAACATGCAATAAAATTATTATTATTTTAAAGACAGAGTTTCATTCTTGTTGCCCAGGCTGGAGTGCAATGGTATGATCTCGGCTCACTGCAACTTCTGCCTCCCGGGTTCAAGCAATTCTCTTGCCTCGGCCTCCTAAGTAGCTAGGGTTACAGGCGGAAGCCACCACACCCTGCTAATTTTTTTGTGTTTTTAGAAGAGATGGAGTTTAACCATGTTGGCCAGGCTGGCCTCCAACTCCTGACCTCAGGCGATCCCCCTGCCTCAGCCTCCCAAAGTGCTGGGATTACAGGCGTGAGCCACCGTGCATGGCCTAATAAAACTATTCTTAATAAACAAACAAACAAAACCAGAAAATAGCAAGTGCTGGTGCAGATGTGGAGAGACCTTCACGCACTGCTGGTGGGTGTGGAAAGTGTTACCGCCATGGGAGGCGGAGCGTTTGCTCCTCACCAGGTTAGACGTAGAATTACCACATGATCCAGCAAGGCCACTGCCAGGGAGGCACCCAAGAGAACTGACCACAGGTGTTCAAACAAAAATTTGAATGTTCACAGCAACATTATTCACAATAGCCCAAAGGCTGAAACCATCTAAATGTCCTCAAACTGACGAATGCATACACGTGGCCTGCGCCTCCCCCGCTCCCCTCCCTCCCCCCGCCAAGGAACTCTTCCCACGAAAAGGAACGAAGCGGGGATGCTCCAACACGACGGACCTTGAAACACAATACAAGTGAAAGAAGCCAGGCACAGGAAGACAAGTACTGTATGATCCTGCTGAAACCAAACGTCCAGAACAGGCAAATGCGTGGAGGCAGAAACTGGGTGCTGGGCGGGGGACAGGGGGAGACTGCACATAACTGTGGGGTTTCCTCTGAGGCAGTAAAGGAATTCTGAGCAAATGACGATGTCTGCACAACATTCTTAATGTACTTAATGCACTGTGGCACTCCATCTCAAAAAAAAAAAAAAAAAGTTTGTTTTTGAGACAGGGTCTTTCTGTCACCCAGGCTGGAGTGCAGTGGTGCGATCACGGCTCACTGCAGTCTCAACTTTGTGGGCTCAAGCGATCCTCCCACCTCAGCCTCCCAAGTACCTGGGACCATACCCGGCTAATTTTTTTATTTTTTGATAGAGACAGGGTCTCACTATGCTGCCCAGGTTGGTCTCAAGCTCCTAGCCTCAAGTGATCCTCCTGCTTTGGCCTCCCAAAGGGCTGGGATTACAGGCATGAGCCACCACACCCAGCTGAAAGCTAGGTGTTGTTTTTTTGTTTTCTCAATCCTTGCTTGGTTGAAAGAAAGCTAGTTTTTCTTTTTTTTTCTTTTCCTGAAAACACGAGTTTTAAAAAAAGCTTTTTGTAAAAAAGCTATGAAATGTGTTAAAATCTTAGTGGAGTTGGCTCAACTTATTGTGCTTGTTTCCTTGCCTTTTTTTTTTTTCTTTCAGACGGAGTCTCACTCTGTTAACCAGGCTGGAGTGCAGTCGTATGATCTTGGCTCACGGCAACCTCCACTTCCCAAGTTCAAGCAATTCTCCCACCTCACCCTCTTGAGTAGCTAGGATTATAGGCACCTGCCACCATGCCTGGCTAATTTTTGTATTTTTAGTAGACAAGGGGTTTCACCATGTTGGCCAGGCTGGTCTCGAACCCCTGCAGGCCTCAAGTGATCTGCCCACTTCATCCTCCCAAAGTGCTGGGATTACAGGCATGAGCCGCTGCACCCAGCCTGCCTTCATTTACTACTTATTGACTTCCCCTAAAATATGAAGGGTTATTCTTTGCTTTCTATGTTAATCTGTCCAGACAGCAAAGGTGCTATCTTACCAGGGTAATCTTCCATGCTTTCTGTTGACTTATTATGTCTTGATGATTTAAGAAAACAAAGCTTCCCATGCTTATGAAAGAGCTGAGGTTCTCTATAACTGTTCTCTTCTACATTTAAGCATTTGATCATTACTTTCACATGGGTAGCTAAATGTTACTTCTCAGGTACCCATGAATCTATCTTAGTGTTCAAATCTCCTGGCGTCTTTTAATGTTTTTCCTTATGAAAATTGAATTCTAAACGTCAAATAAAATAAAGCTTTCAGAAGATCTTTTATATTTAAAATGATCTATGAGATGCCCCAGAAGTTTCCTGGAAAATCACACACAAAAAATTCTTATAAAAAGAGAGGTATTTGAAATAATTAGGTCCAAGCTGGGGTGTGGTGGCATGCACCTGTGGTCCCAGCTACTTGGGAGGCTGAGGCAGGAGGAGCTCTTGAGCTAAGGAGATCGAGGCTGCAGTGAGCTGTGCTCGCATCACTGCCCTCCAGCCTGCGTGACAGAGTGAGACTCGGTTTCTATTAAAATAGAAAAAGGGGAAAGAAAACAATTCTAAAGAAATGACTAGGTTTATTTGGTGTGTTAGGCTTGATGAATACCATGGAAAGAACTGCCAGGTCAGGGGAGGTGTGTGGCCTGCCTGGGCCGTGTGTGTCTGAGGCACGGAGAAGTTGTGCACTGTGCTGTGCGGAGACTTCTCGGCTGCCCACGGCGCTTCTCTTCATGAGTCCTGAAGCCATCTGCATGATGCTGTCAGCTGGCAGCAGTGCAGAGCTCTGAGGCATAAGTCCCGTGACTGCCATGACATAACTTGGGCGTCACCTTACTTTAACGTGAGTTGTGCATCTCTGATGCCAGAGTGTGCAGCTGGGTGAATGTCACTCACTCTGCGGCTGTGCTACTGGAAGACGGCCACCACCTGCCCCACACTTCTTGCCTCTCCACTGGATATTCCTGGTATAGTTATGGAATAGTCAGCTTCACAATTATCTGTAAATAATTTCTTCTGTAAAAATGCTGCTCATCCATTTTTAGAAATCAGATGTTCTGTTTCCGGGCATCTTTGAAAACAGCATAAGCGTCTTGGATTAACTTTGTCTAGAACTCTTTTTCAGACTCTGTTTCCAGATGTCTACAGGACAATCAAATGTCACTTCTCAGTTACGTTATTCTTGCTCTGAAGAGACCTTCACTTTTCTTTTTTTTTTTTGAGATGGAGTCTCACACTGTTGCCTAGCTGGAGTGCAGTGGTGCCATTTTGGCTGATTGCAACC